GGTATAATGGCCCTCCAAGGTGTGGTGTGAAAATGCCCTTTTTAATCTGTTAACATTTATTTTAATACTATTGTTTCCAATGCAATCAATTCTGTATTATATGTATAAATGTAATCCTGCTATTGGGGGAAATGGTTACTTCACTAGTAATTTTCATCAATTAAGAGTGATATTTCTAATTCACGAAGAAAATTAATATTAAAACTATCTTGAATATACCATTTATCTTCTGTTAAACTGGCTCAATTTTTAATGTAATTTTTTTGTTGAATTAAATGTTTAGTATGGAATTATTTTGTCCTTTTTACACCACATTCCTCTAAGCTCTCTCCAACAGTCACAGTCCAGTTTAAGAAAGACTGTTCAAGAACGTGGCTCATCTAGCAAGTTCTTGGGCTCTTCTTTGGCCCCTCTCACAGTCTCTCCTGTCTGCGGCCATCCAGCCTGGGCAGCCGCACGTGTGTGCACAGACTGCGGTTTCAGTCAATCGTGTTTTCCTTACAGCTTCAAATCCACAAGTCCACCTTTTGTCATTGAAAGCCTATGACCCGGTCTCTAGGGTGAGTTTGAAAGTGCTTTGTTAACCACACAGTGACGTGAAATAGCTAATGAAATGACATGGAGTTTTTATTTGCTTGAAACCAGTTGGTGAGCAACTCTGAGCATAGGTCATGCCCACACCTACTTGTAGACTACAGGTTACTAGAATCACAACAGTGGAAATCATATACAGTTGGATCCTTTGAAGGCACTTTTATTTGGTGAGCTGTAAACTATGAAGTGTCTGAAACACATTTCTCTAAGTGATCACATTAAGTCTGGGGCACGTCTAAGTGCTTTTAGGCTGGAAAAGATGAGTACCCACCTTTCCACTCGGAAGCGCCAGCTGCCTGCAGAGCCTCTTGATCACAGGGACATGCACTACGGTGTGAGCCTTCTGGAAAGGTGAATACTGCTCAATACTAAGACACTCGATTGTTTATGTGAAACAATCAGAATTTATCTATGATACTTTCAAAATGACTTTCAAAATTTTAATTTTGTGTTAAAGTATTAGCATATTTTAGATAGTTTGATATTTGTATTTCTGTAATCTTAGTCAAAGCACTGTTCTAGGTGCTGTAAGTTACACAGACCCAACCCAGGGGTGTCCAAAAGACCTAGAAGGAAGCCACGAGTATTTCTGGAGATCAGAAAGGGCCGCCTTTGAAAATCAAGTCCAGAATTCTTAATTTTATTATCCTTCTGGGTTGTCTGCTTTTTCTGTGTACTTCCTGTGTATTTGTAAGAAGTGGCACGTGGAAATCTGGTTGGCACCAGGACAACAATTGTGTGTATTAAAATTCAAGCACAGTTGGTCAGACATCATCGGGCTCTGGAATGTGGTTTGCAGTTGACCATCACTGCACTAAAGCTGCCAGATATGTCCCAGTTTGCTGTCGATGCTTCTGTCCTAGGAACAAATCTTTCTTTTTATAGCTCGATTCCTAAGATCAGTCCCTGGCCCAGTAGTCCAAGATAGCTTCCAAAATCAAATTGCCTTGTAACTGCACCCCCATCCCTGCCACCACCATGGACACGCAGCACTCAGCAGCCAGGCCAGCCTCCCTCACTCAGAAGCCGTGGAAGGAGGTGGAAGTTGGCTCGGCTCACCAGATACAATTTGAGTTTGCTTTTACTTCTTGCTGTGAGCTTTCTTACATGTTTGTAGTTGGTGAATGCATACTGCCCGTGTGGGGACAGGTCTGAGGGAAGCCAAGAGGAGGTAGGCAATCCAGGAAGTGGAGCCTAGCTCAGCTCTGGGCCCCTACAGCGAGCTTGCAGGCTGGCAGTGTGGCCTGACCAGAGAAAACACGCGGTGCGCCCAGGGGTGCCCTCACCACCGGGGGGCGGCAGAGCCCAGGTCACTTGGATGGCGTTGCCTCTGCTTTTTCTATTTTGTGAGCAGGTTTCCAACATTAACACGCCATCAGAGTTGGAATTCTTCGACTGAGAGATCTGCCTACTGCCTCGGCCCAAATCACCACCCGGGCCCCATCTCAGCATGGGGAGCAGTCGGGCTCCCTGTGCTTCTGCCCCAGACGTCCTCTCTCTGGCTGAGCGCAGGAGGGCACGGTGGCTGGGAGAGCAGGCGCCGGGCACTTGGCAGGTGCTCAGCAAACGTGGAATGAGCGAATTTGGGTGGTGGTGGAGGAGGTGGGAGACTTCGGCACCACTTCCCTTCTGGAGTTCTGTAGCCACAACTCAAGTGCTTCAGGAACCATTTTATAGCGCTGCCCGGGAAAGGCTTAAATGGCCTCGCTGCCTTTCTTCACAATCTTTCCAATTTGGAGTAGGCAGAGACCCCACCAGGGCTCTGGCAGCCGGCCAAGGCGGCCTCCTGTGCCCTCCACGCCCTGGCCAGCGCCTGCCTGTTGCTGGGCCCACAGGCAGGGTACAGAGTGAGTCAGGAGCAATTTCAGCTGCCCCACAACTGGCTCCCCTGCCCAGAGCAGGCGGTGGGGAGCTCCTAGCAATGCGGGTAGCCAACGGGTTTTCCTGCTCCAAACCTGCAGGAAAGTGGATTTGTCCTCGTGAAACTGATTGTGCAAGCCCCCCTGTGGGCCAGAGAACCACACTGCTCCTCCATGGAGACAGGCGTGCAGTGATTGGACCAGCTCTGCTCACTGCGGGGCTCGGGGGGGTGGGCTGTGGTCTTTGGCTTGGCTGCCCAGCTGAGAGGCCCCACTCTGGCCGGGCTTGATGTACCAGGACCAACACTGCTTCAGAGCACTGTATTCCAGAGACCAACGTGAAACCAAAAGGGCCTCATTTGCTGGACAGGTCATGTCCCTCAAGGGCCCAGCCTACCCAAGAGAGCCCTCAGTCCTGCTGCCCTGCCACAGGCAGGGACCAGTTTGCTTTCTCAGAAAGGTATGCAGAAGAACTTTAAAGATTTTCCCTTCAAATTTTATAAAGGGGGTAACAGTTTTCCTAAATAAACAAATACTTCTCAGTCCTCTAACGCGCTAACTTAGAGCCAGTCCTCGAGGACAGCAGCATGCCCTCTGAGCCACCGCCTCTTTGCGGCTTGCTTCTCCAACAGCTTCCCCGCGCTGGGCTCAGAGTGTGGGCTCACCTGCCCTGCGGGTCCCTCTTCAGGCTCATGCACCCCCTCCCATCTCCTCTGGCCATCTGTCTTGCTGCTGGGCTGCAGCACCACCTGTGTCTGAGAAACTTTCAGCTCCCACGTGGCTGAGACCCCTCAGGTCGTCTGCAGAGGTAGAAGAGTGCCCTTCCTGCCCCTCAACACCACTGCCACAACGGGGCATCCTGGAAGACCATGCTAGGGCCTCAAATGGGTTTAAAAGGAAGTTCTTTCCAACCCCTCCCCGTGTGCACCCAGCTCTGTCACCCTAAACCTCATTTATGGTCTCGAACCTGCCTTTCTGGGCTCCGCTCCCACGTGGCCCACACCCACAGCTTCTCCACCCCACGCTGCCTCCATGCTCACAGCCTCTCCCTCTACCCCGGGGCCTGTAAAACGCTGGCTCCAGCCTGCCCCTCCTTGTGGCTGCCACGTCTACCCTCCCACAGCCCAGCTGTCCTGTCACTCCTGGTTCTGCTTCACCACCTGTTGGGTGGGCTGGAGGTGGGGGCCACCAGAGAGTGGAAGGATATCACAGATCTGTCTTAAAAGAGGGAACAAGAAGACTAAAAACTAACCTGGGGGGGCCGACCCCCTGGCGTAGCGGTTAAGTGCGCGCACTGCACTGCTGGCAGCCTGGGTTCAGATCCCGGGCGCCCACTGACCCACTGCTTGCCAAGCCATGATGTGGCGGCGTCCCACATAAAGTGGAGGAAGATGGGCACGGATGTTAGCTCAGGGCCAGTCTTCCTCACAAAAAATAAAGAAACAAATAAAATAAAAACTCTAAAAAAAAAAAAAAAACTAACCTGGGAAATGTGTTTTTTAACATTGTAAGTTTGAGAAGATGAGAAAAAGAAGGAAAACTCAAATATTAGGCTACACTCCAAGACAAAAAGGGGCTTAATAGGGTTTCTTTCCTTTGCCCAGCGGCCTGGCCCTGCCCTGCACTGCACTCTCCAGCACCACTGCTTCTTTCAGCATTCCCATCCCACCCCACAGGGAAACAGGCTTCTTTTTGTGCCCAACTTGTCATGGGTATCCCAGAAACAAAGCTCAGGGCGCCGGCGGGCTGTCAGGAAGCAGTGTGCTCTACTCACAGGAGAAGGCTGCATCTCAGGAGCCAACACGAAGCAGCTACCTGGAAGCCTGGCGCTCTGACCCGCCCTCGTGTTCGGCGCCGCCTCGAGCAGCTGCAGCTCCCTGGGGGGCACCGAGCACAAGCCTGGGTTTATTCCTTAATGGTTTTTCAAGTGAAACCAAATTAAGCTGCACCAAAGTCTTCCCAACAAAATCAATTACCCTAATAAGCTCACAAAAGCTAAAATACAGGAATGGATAGTTGGGACACATGTTTAACTCAGAAAATATTAAAACGAAATACTGTAATGATAGCTTATTCTTTAATAAAAATCCAGGGTCTCCAAGAGCATGACCAGCAGCTGTAATGTGCTACAATGCTAGCAGTGATGTACTCAAGAAGGCACAACACAAAGAGCCCGTGGTGAAACCAAGCCTAATTAATATATCATATAAATTATCATTTCTGTTTTGATTCATATAAAAATTACAAAATATTCCCTGCTCCAAATTCTTATGTTCTGAAAATAAAATAAAACCCTAGAATGAGGTGGTTTTACAAATGTATTAGATTGGAACATACAGTACAGCTGCTTTCGGGATGCAAATACCCACGGGCTGGCGGGCTCCAGGCCCAGGCGGGGCCGCTGGTCTGCGGGGCAGCACTCTTGGGGAAGCCAGGCCTCGCGAGGAAGGCAGCACCAGGTCTCTCCTTGGAGCCCTCCCGTGTCTCAGAGGCCATCAGCCGGGCCCAGGCTGGCCGCACCTGGTTTTACGCTCCAAAACAGGCATGTGCTCCTCAGTACCCCCCAGCTTTCCTTTCTATCGTGGGCAGGCGATACTGTCTCAGGTTGGGCTTAATGTCCTTCTGTGGATCTGTCTGTTAAAGAAAATGACAGACATTCAGTGGCAGCCAGGATGGGGGCGAGCGCAGCGCACTAAGGGAAGCTAGGGAGATGGGCTACCTTCTGGTTTGTGCCGACACACTTCAGGGGCCTCAGCACCGGGACTCTCCCGTTGGCTCTGGGTCCGCATGCTGACTGCAGCGCCGGGCTGGAGTACGAGGACAGTTTGGTCACTCCCGAAAGTTTCAGCCTGGGCAGCTCCATCAGGTAGGCTGGTCCTTGTCTCTTGGGATGGTCCTCCTCTTGCCTCGTGGACTGTTTCTTGAAACAAAACATAGGTCAGTTGAACATCTGATGCTGTCCCCTTTATGGAAATTAGGAAAAACAAAAGAGGCTCTTTTGCCTACTACAATTTCTTGACCGTCAGGTGTGACCATATGGTGACTAGACAACACACACTGTGTCCCAGCCACCCAAAAGCGAGGTGGCCACTCACTCGCTAGAGTCCCACAGTGGGAGGCAAAGCCTCCACACATCAGTCATGGTGCTGAGTCTTGCCCCTCAGTGCAGCCACTGCAGCCCCCCTGGCCTGACACTGGGGAGGCCTCTCGGTGACAGTGAGTGCAGCTCACCAAGGCCAAGGCCACCTCCTGCTCTCACCCCCAGGGAGTCCGTTGGCAAACTACACCTTGAGGCCAAATCTGACCACCACCTGCTTTTGTGTGGCTAGTGAGCTAAGAATGGTTTTTACATTTTTTAATAGTTGAAAAAAACTTCATGGCACATGAAAATTATATTAAATTTAATTTCAGTGTCCACAGTTTTACTGAAACACAGCCCCACCATTGGTTTACGTATTGTTCATGGCACCACCGAGAAAAGAGTGGGCTTGCGACAGACTTTATGTGTCGCAAAGCCTAAATGGTGACAGATAGTGTGGGCCTCGCCCTGACAGCAGGGGGCCTTTGGTGGGTGTCAGCAGGAGTGAGACGGTCAGACACACATCTGACCCAGGGGGAAGGGAGGCTGAGCAGGGACAGCAATTAGGGGGCAAAATGAGGGAGGCTCAGGCCACGGGAGCAGGATGTCCAGAGTTTAGGCCCTGAGCAGCTAAAAGGGAGCTGCCTGCATCCCTGGAGGGAAGGTGTGGGGAGAAAAGCAAGTCTGGGGAGAAGATCAGGAGATTGGCTTCGAACAAGTTTGCCTTTTAAACATCCAAGTAGAGCCATCAACAGGTGGTGGACATAGGTGTATGGGTTCTGGAAAGCAGCCTGGTTGCAGATATACCTGCATCCAAAGCTCCCAGCACGTGGTGACACGCAAATGTTGGGATGAATGAAAAATGAATGACAGGCGGGTGCAGTATCACAGAGTCGGGGGCCAGCCCAGAACTGTGAAACTGGTGGCACTGAGAAAACGGGGTCCACACAGTATGTGAGAAGAAAGGTGAAGATGTTGCAAAGTGAAGCCATTGTTTCTAAACCAAAAAGTGTGTGAAACAATCTCTGTGACTAGATGGATAGTCATCTGGGGCCTACTCTGCTCAGGGGGGATGGTGGCCGAGTGGAGAGGTCGTGGGCTGCCCAGAGCTTGTAGCTGGCTAGCCAGGTCATCTGCACCAGTGTTTATGGCTTCTCTGTGCCCCCGCTAGGGTTGGTCTGAGAGCATAATGAGGTGACGCCTGCGAGGCGCTTTGGCACAGAACCTGGCCCCTGCACACAGAAGAATCCTACCTCCCTCGTTCAGGCCTGCTCACATGGCATGGTGTCGTCGACCGTTAGCTAGTGGGGCAGAAAGGGCGGGAGCAACCAGAGCCAGGCTCCCTACGTCCTAACACATGGAGACATCATCTGACGTGGTGTCAGGCCTGCTTCCAGCTCACTGATTTCACTCAGTACCTGCTTTCTGCCCTCCTTTGAAATTTGCCAGTTGTTACTGAGTAGTTCCGGTGCCACAGGGTGCTCTGGAAAGAATGCTTTTCTGTGGTTGGCCAGAGCCTGCTTCTCAGTTGCCCTACGGGGAAGGAAGAGAGGGGGGAATGCCTCCACTGAGAACCCACACAGCACAACTGCTTGTGTGCTTTCTCTGTCTCCAAATTTGTCTATTACGTGCATTGTCACTGCCTCTTCTTTTCCACATGAACTATTAGGAGGATTTTTCCTTTTCTGTCTCAGCCTGACAGTCTGTGGGCCAGGAGCAGAGAGGGGTCTGTGAACTGTGGGCATCGCCCTGCCACAGGCTCGTACCCCTGCCCAGTGACTCGAGGTTTGGGTCTGATGTCACCTCCATGGTCACATATGCAGGAGTGGACAGAGGTGTGGAATTAGACGCCCTCAGGGCAGGTACCATCCAACTCGCTCTCAAATCTTACAGCGAGGGGCCGGCCCAGTGGTGTAGTGGTTAAGTTTGCACGTTCCGCTTCGGGAGCCCAGGGTTTACGGGTTCAGATCCCAGGTGCAGACCTACGAACCGCTCATCAAGCCATGCTGTGGCGGGGTCCCATATATAAAGTAGAGGAAGATTGGCACAGATGTTAGCTCAGCGACAATCTTCCTCACCAAAAACAAACAAACAAACAAAAACCTTACAGCGAGTTCACCCCATTTACACTGATGCATGCAGGCTCCTCTCCGGGTCTTAACAACTGAAGCCCTGGCATCAGCCACAAAGCAGCCACAAAGCTCCTGTTGTGGAGCTGCTAACAGCCTCCCTTTGGGAGGATATACCAGAAAAGAGCAAGGTGTGGGTTCCCAGAAGCACCAGCACTGTTCAGGATAGAAGGAGCTGTTCCCGGCCACCACGTGCCCCACCACGTGCTCCACGAGTCTCAGTAGCCAGCTTCTCCCGCCACACAGAAATCCACTGCAGAGCCTACCTTTGCTCTTGGAAGTAGGGATGCTGCAGAGCCTGGTGGGCAGTGATTCTCTCATCAGGATCATAGGCTACCATTGCGTGCAGGAGGGAGAGGCATTGTGGGGACAAGTTGGCTGTCAGTAGAGGTATTCCTGATCCCTTTTTAAAAGGAAAATCAAAACTCATAGCTCTCGACCTGTATTAAAAGCCCAATGATAATAAACAATCATGCCATTATTTAGAGCACTTGGCTGGTCCACATTCATGACTCTACAGTTGTCCAAACCCATGGAATGTACAACACAAGAGTGGGCCCTCATAGACACTGTGATAATGACATGTCAGTGTAGGTTCATCGATCATAACAGTTGGGCCACTCTGGTTGATGGTGGAGAAGGCTGTGCCTGTGTGGGGCCAGGCAGTACATGGGAAACCTCTGTACTTTCCACTCTGTTTTGCTCTAAACCTAAAACTGCTCTAAAAAATAGTCCACTTTTAAAAAAAGAGGAAGAGGTGGTGAAATCTGTTATGCTACAAATGTAAGAAAAATACTTTTCCTCGAAAAGACTAATAACACATTCCCACCTGAGAAGAATGAAATAAAGTTTAAAAAAAAAAGAAAAAGAGGGGCCGGCCCAGTGGTGCAGTGGTTAAGTTTACGCGCTCTGCTTCAGCAGCCCGGGGTTCGCAGGTTCGGATCCTGGGTACGGACCTACGCACTGCTCATCAAGCCATGCTGTGGTGGTGTCCCACATATAAAGTGGAGGAAGATGGGCACGGATGTTAGCTCAGGGCCAATCTTTCTCAGCAAAATGAGGAGGATTGGCAACAGATGTTAGCTGGGGGTTAATCTTCCTCACATACACAAAAAAGAAAAAATCCTAAAATAGTTGTCATCTCCTTATCTTCTTAGGGTCTAGGAGCTGCTGGGTGCTGCCCACCTGCCTCAGCCCAGGGGCCCTCCCTCGGAAGCTCCCAACTCCCTGGCCTCAGCTTCATCTCTGCCCAAACCAAGTCCTAACGAGTCCTGGTCTGGGTGTCAGTAGGGTCAGCAATCCTGGGTGACGGCTGCACAAAGTCCTCGCTGCGCAGAGCCTGTGCTTGGAGAACCTTTCTCACCCAGAGGCCTCTAAGTCCTGAGTAAATATTCAGGGCACAAAACCTGACTGCCAGGCCCTCAGCAAGACTGTGAGAAGTCTTCTGTGATGCTTGAGGGAGAGCGCCCCTTGGTAGACCCCAGGAGTGACAGCTCTATCTGAGTAGCCACTGTGCTAGTGCCCCAACGAACATGCAGCCACTTCAGTGGCAGCAGGGACCCAAGTGGACTGCAAGGGCGACAGAGGCGCAGCCCAGCCACACCCTCAGCTCACTCCCACCGCCAGCCCTGGCAGGGAGGCAAGTCCACATGGACTCCTGGGAGCACACCACACTTACTGTTTGAACTTGGTGAGGGTCTTCTCAGCAGGTGTGCCGATGACTTCATGGATTTTTGAGATCTGGTCCAGCTCATTGGCTCCAGGAAAGAGGGGTTGCAGACTGGAAGGGCATGACAAGGGGTGTGGTTAGGACAGGCCATGGCCCTCTTCATCCTGCCTGGTCTCCCTCAGCTGGGTGGCTCACTCACAGGGAAACTCGAGGAAACCATTCTTCCCCCCACAGAGTAATCCTCGAAGCTGATGGATTTCCATTCCCCCTTCTGCTTGGGCCTTTCTGTTTCCACTTCACCAGCAGGCCCTAGGTGTCCTTCTAAGAGACAGAGCCACATTCCTCTATCTGTAACACCCTGGGATCTCTGCAGTGAAATGTAAACATTCACACCAAATGCCATCCATAACCTCCATGACAAGTCTCCTGACAGCCCAGGTGAGTTTTGTTGGCAAAAATTCAGGGCAGGGCAGGGCAGGTTTTGTCAACAAATGAGTTCTAAAAATGCTCGTTTTTGGAGCTTTTATGAATTTTGGAATTGTAGATAAAAGATTTTAGACCTATATAAATAAATTGAATTCATATTACAAGCCACGAGGAAGAGTTTTAAAATATAGCACTGATGGTAAGACTAGTTTCTATTCAGGAAAATAGCAAAATCTTATGGCTACAAGAGAGAAGAGGAAAAGGTAGGTAAACAGCTCTGACATGGGGGAGGCGGGGACGGCAAAGACAGCAGGGTTTAATGGCGGATTCACAGAGGGCTGCGGCATTCTGATTAGATGCCACCAGCCATCATGTTCTTAACATTTAAGTCTTTTAACACTCTTCTAAATTAATTCAAAGGATTTTAGCACATGAGAAAGGATTGTTTGTTGGCTCTTTTAGCTTCAATGAAATCTCAGCTTTCCAAAAATAAGTCAATTATCAATATGAATGATCTAGCATCAAAACAAAGTGAGTCCTGAAGTGCACATATGTCTGTATTTATGAAGTGGTCAGTTGAGCAGGCAGGAGCAAAAGACCTGGGTCCCTGTGTATGCTGGGCAGTACTGTTCTGATGCCCATCACCCAGACATTAAATTCACCTACCTGTCCTTAATCATCCACTACGAGCAGGAAGGTGCTGCCCCAATCCCTCCTTGGGCTTCTTCAACACAACACTCTACTCACCTCTGAGTGGGACAAGCCCTCCTCCCTTCTTCCTGGGCCACTGCTCCATCCAGCGGTGAAGCCCAAAGGTGGGAGGGTGGAGGGTGGAGGCCAAGGAGGAGGGTTAGAATTGGGGCTTTCTAGAGTCCAGCTGTGTCAGAAGGTGACTCATCCTCACACCTATGGCCAGAGTACCCTCCTTGGTATGAGTGTACCTCTCAGTGTAGGCCCTGGGGGACCACCTGCTCACACCTCCCCATGTTAGGCCCCACAAGGTAGGAGTAAGCACATTTCTACTGTGTTTCTGAACTGGGTAATCAATTATTTCACTGATGAAGCCAAATAAAGAGGCCCATCAAGCCAGAGCTGGGGTGTGCCGGTAGGAAAGAAGTAGCTGACAGTGTTCTGTTCTCCATGACAGGCAAACAAGGAAAAGTATTCCACAAAAGTAAAATGAAAGCCTAGTAAATTTTCTGTGAAGTTAAACAGTCAAACACCAGAATGACTGTAAAATCTGTATTGTACTTAGGACATTTACATAGAGGTCCATTTGTACCAAGGGGAGTTCTCAGACATGAGGCTGGCCTCAGCTCTACCTGGTGATCTCATAGAACACGCAGCCAGCACTCCACAGGTCCATTTTGTAGGTGTAGAACCCATCGGTGAGGAGGCACTCTGGGGCCCGGTACCAGCGGGTAGAGATGTATTCTGTGTACGGCTGTTTGGAATAGACACTCCGGCAGGACCCGAAGTCCCCTAATTTCAGGACATCCTGCTGCAGGGGGCAGAAAAGCAGCGACGAATAACATCATATCAAACAGCTCTTGTAATACGAACTATTTCAAATACTTATTTATGCACTAACAAGAAAATTACTAGCATCTAAACTAGCTTGTAAAATACAAATTACTGGCTTTAAAAATACCTGAAAGTGCCTCTAACAGACGAGGAAGTGGTGTTTGTATTCATGGAGCAGGTTTACAAATATGCTGGCTATGTTCTACAAATATTTCCAAATGTCTACGGGTTTTGGAAATTTTGCATCACAGTGCGAGTCTACAAATGAATTAGACACTGTAGCCATATGCCCTATTACGCCTCATCTCCCATCATCGTCCAGCTCTGCTGCAGCTTCATTCTCTACTCGGGGGCGGCTCAGGGCTGGCTCACATCACATGGGCTCTTTGGAACAAGTCAGACAGACCAGGGAAACAGGTTTTGAGATATTTCTTCCATTTTCTTTAACCCTCACATTCACATAATAAAATACAGGCTGTTAATGAATTTGAAGCCTTGAGCACCTACAGCTACAGGATCATTAAACACAGCACATCTCTTAGCGAGATTACCAAGAAACTTCATTCGAAGGGCCTTTTACCTCTGTTCCCATTACCTAATACATCACGTCAGGCTTTCAACAAAAATTATAAGGCATGTTAAAAGGCAAGAAAACACAGTTTGAAGAGACAAAGCAAGTATCAGATACAGCACAGACTGTAGAATTTTAGAATTATCACATGGGGAATTTAAAATAACTATGATTAATCTGTTAACGGCTCTAAGGGAAAAAGTAAACAACATGCAAGTTCAGATGAGAAATGAAAATAGAGAGATGAAAATTCTAACAAAGAATCAAAAGGAAACACTAGAAATAAAAACACTGTAACAGAAATAAAAAATGACTTTCATAGGCTCATCAATAGACTAAACACAGCCAAGGAAAGAATCAACGAGCTGGAAGATACACCACTAGGAACTTCTCAAACTGAAATGCATTTACCTCTGTTCCCATTACCTAATACATCACGTCAGGCTTTCAACAAAAATTATAAGGCATGTTAAAAGGCAAGAAAACACAGTTTGAAGAGACAAAGCAAGTATCAGATACAGCACAGACTGTAGAATTTTAGAATTATCACATGGGGAATTTAAAATAACTATGATTAATCTGTTAACGGCTCTAAGGGAAAAAGTAAACAACATGCAAGTTCAGATGAGAAATGAAAATAGAGAGATGAAAATTCTAACAAAGAATCAAAAGGAAACACTAGAAATAAAAACACTGTAACAGAAATAAAAAATGACTTTCATAGGCTCATCAATAGACTAAACACAGCCAAGGAAAGAATCAACGAGCTGGAAGATACACCACTAGGAACTTCTCAAACTGAAATGCAAAGAAAAAACTATGGCAAAAACAGAACATTAAGAACTGTGGGACAATTTCAAAAGATGTGGTGCACATACTACAACAGGGACAAATCTCAAAATGATGCTAAGTGAAAGAAGCCAGAGCAAAAAAGAGTACATACTATACAATTCCATCTATAGAAAATTCTAGAAAATGCAAACGAATTTCTAATGATGTAAAGTCAGTCTTTGCCTGGGGACAAGGGATGGAGAGAGAGGGATTACCAAAGAGCATGAGGAAACTTTTGGGGGGAGATTTGTTTGTTAACTTGATTGTGACGATGGCTTCATGGGTATATACATATGCCAAAATTTGCCAAGCTTTACACTTTATTTTTTTATTTTTTGTGAGATCAGCCCTGTGCTAACATCTGCCAATCCTCTTTTTTTTTTTTTTTTTTCTGAGGAAGACTGGCCCTGGGCTAACATCCATGCCCATCTTCCTCCACTTTATATGGGATGCCGCCACAGCATGGCTTGCCAAGCAGTGCGTCAGTGCGCGCCCGGGACCCAAACCAGCGAACCCCAGGCTGCCGCAGCGGAGCGCACACACTTAAGCGCCAAGCTTTACACTTTAAATATGTATAAAGTGGCTTTGAAGCGAGACAGACCTGAGCTCAAATCCCACCTCTGCCACTTTCATATATTTAGAATGTTCAGAATGATAATTTGATTGGAGTTTATTTTTGCATATAGTATGAGAAGGGTACCTAAGATTATTTTCTCCCAGATGTACAAGTATGTTGATGGCATTTATTAAATAAATCATTTTTTCCAAATTGGGAGGAAAAAAAATTATAACAAACATGGTATTCAGCTACCTGGGATTGAAATCATAGCCAGAGAAAAGTTTTTATATTCTACCTTTGTTCTAATATCGATTTTTCACATAAAAGTTCTTACCTTTATTAGTATATTTTCTGGTTTTACATCTCTGTGAAATATTCCATTTCTGCATTCAATATAAAAGGAAAGACAGAATTAATTGTGTCTCATTCATTCAAATTCTTTTACATTGTATTTTTAATAAATGTTAATACATTTTATTAATTTGAGAGCTGCCAAGTCTCCAAATGCATACCTGTGTATATGATCAAGGGATTTACATAACTGGTACATATAGCACCTAATTTTTTTTTCTGATAATGGATGTCTTCTCCCTGCACAATCAAGGAAACAGCCAAATATGGTTACCAATGGTACATATCCCCTTTTTTGAAATCAGAAATAGAATCCATTTTTATTTAATGATATATGAAAATCTAACTTCCTCTGTGAAAAATAATCTGAAGTAGCTTCAGGAAATACAGAGTGTACCTAACAAAATATACTATTTAAAATTTTACATACTTGCACGATTCCACAGAGCGCATGCAGTCTGACTGCAGTGAGAACAGTATTGAGTAATAATCACAAGAGTAGCTTGGCCTGCTAAACCTCAACACGAGCCCCAGGGTGGGCCTTCTATGATACTCTCCTTCAAACTGTTGATTATGTCAGGAGTCACTTGTAAATCCAGTGTTTTCCTAGGCTTTCTGTCTAGATGGAGATTTCTATTTTAAAGGGAGATAGATCACAGTTCAACAGAAGTACCTTTTTTTAATCCAAGAAGGCCAATGAGTGCTTTGAATTTCACAGCCCATATTCTCTTCTCTGACAAAAGGAAGCAATAATTTGGCACCTGCTGATGCTGATGCAGCACTCTGCAGCAGTACCCAAGCTCCCTTGGCGCCCGTCCACACACCCTGCCATCTAGACCTTCCTTCCTGAGGCTTCTTACGATGTTCTAACACTGTTAATACACACTCCGGCATCACAGCTATCGTTGTTTCAGAAGATGTCACATTTTACTTGATTTTAATCTCAAAAGTGTGTTTTTTTAAGTTATTAAGTTTTAAATCTGCAAAATAACCATTCTCACCTAACAATTCAGAAAACCACTTTCTCCTCCTCCCACATATCCCATTTGACATTTTTGGTCCTAAGTTTGCAATTTCTGTTGACAAATTTATTCTTTTTCTCGAATAACAAAACAAGAATGTTTATGTTAATATTAGAAAGGAATTTAAATTATAAAATGTCTAAGTGCAATGAACTTTTTCCATGCAATACTATAATCTCTATTCTGTTTCACAAAATTTATCATCAGTTTTCCAGTATTTAAATTAAAAGAATTAAAACTAAGACTTTGTCAGCTTTCCCTAACTTGAGGAATTCTCTAATTGTATTACATTCCTATCTATATAAAAGTGAAAAGAAAGCAAAATTTCCATTCTCCGTCACATATGCTGCTAGATGAAGCTTCCTGAAGTTCAGCTCTCATCCTGAGATGGGTCTCACTGCCCAGTGAATTAGCTTGGCACTCAAGATCCCCTTCAGGAGATTCCCTCCCACCACAGAGGCTCTCAGGCTCCAGGAGCATCCAAATCCTCTGGGGGCTTGTGAACGCACAGAATGTTCCCCCTCTCTCACCCCTGGGATATTTCTGGTTCAGCAAGTCTGTGGTGGGGCCCCCAAGTAGCCTTTCTAACAAGTTCCCAGAAGTGGCTGCCAGGCCTGGGTCCTCACTTTGAGAACTGCACCTCACCACATCCCTCCGTTTATCGAACGCTCCAGCCAAATTCACTAGCAGACGCTTCCGCATATGCCCCCAAAGCTCTCCTGCTTCATACTTGTATTTACGCTGTTCTGTTCCTAGAAGAACTCTTCCCAGCCATGTCCACACACCCAAATCTTACTTATAGCATAAGATTGAACTTGAACTCAGGAAAGGTAGAATCTTTTAGGAAAAATCTAATCCATCCAAACTTCATAATCACCTAGGGTTTTTTAAAAAAGTAGATTCCAAAGCCCAAACCCAGCCTTAGTGAATCACAAATCCGGACAGACAGGCCAGGAGTCTGCACTTCTCGGCTGCCTTCAGTCCCCAGTGTAAGAGCCCTTTTTGGGTGCCCGCCCTTCCTTTCTTCCTTGGTCCTCCCACCCATTCGTAGTCCTGGGGGTAAGGACACAGCTCTCTCCCCTCTCCCTCTGTGAGAAGCCCTGCCTGCATGAGGGGGCTACGGTGGAGTGGGGTACCTGCATGAACCATGTGGGACCACTGGTCTGAACAACCGGAGTCCACATCCTTGACAAGGAGGGGGCTGACTATACACTCTCCACAACAGTTTTTCTAAAACAAACTTTCCAGGCCTGAGACTGTATCTGGTTCCCACCAGACTCTTTTCAAACATTTTGCAATAGATAAATATAGTACAGTTAATAAACCACTCATAAGTTCCTCGTCTGTCCCTACTGAATGCGAGCCAACCTCAAACAGTATTTCCCTTGTCTGTTTTAGCTATCCCAACCAAGTTAATTTTTCCAAGTTAATTTTTGCCAAATAGTCTCATTAAGAAGATTCTAAAGAATGTCACATACAGTACTAGTAATGTAAAAAATTTTTAAGTGAACACAGTAATAAACTATGACACTGGTTGTCAGCACTAACTGAAGGAATATGGCTATCACTGTAGCCCACACTGTAACAGAATATCTAACACATCCCCTTCCCACAAGGGACTCCTGTCCCCAGGCCTGTGTCTGACCGTGCCCTGCAGTACCATGCGTGCACACACTTGCTGTTGGTATTTTACAAGGGAGAGCCTTGCATTATGGCACACTGTTCTGAGAGAGGTTAGAGATCTTGACCTGCAGAGGGTAGCAGGTGGGATGTTAGACTCAGTGAGATTGAGCCTGAGCCATCACTGGCACCCCTCTTCCACCAACCATGGCAAAATTCAGAGGCAGGGTCCTCCCAGTTCTGCTCTTTGAAGCTGGCTCATCTTAGGCAAGTGCTGTAACTTTTTTGAAATTCAATTTCCTCACCTCTGAAATGAAGTTGAGCACACAGGACTGGGAAGACCAAATGCAGTAATACAGAGCAAGCATACTATGAACTGTCAAGTAATAATAATAGTAGTAGTAGTAGTAGTAGTAGTAGTAGTAGTACTCAGTGTTTATTGATGACTATGCAAGCCAGGCGCTGCTCTAAACACTATACATATTATTTTATTTAATCCTCTCAACAACTCTAAGAGTTAGACACTGATTATCCCCACTTTATAGACAAGGACTAAGGCTCAAAGAGCCTAACCTGGACCTACCATCATTAGATAACACATGGCACTGTGCATACTCTGAGACAACATGTTGTTCTAGGATATGGGAGATTTGTGCTGTGTTGACATAGGCAAACTAGAACCGTGCTTCCCAGAAGCACTAGCATTACAACTAACAGGATGGTGTCATCGGCTTGGAAGAAAAATTCCAATGACAAATATGTTGCATCACTCACACTCTGAATGGCACAGAGACCGACAGTGTAAGGAAAGCAAAGACATTGGCCATCCCACATCAAAATGTTCCACGGAAGTATTAGGAATGCCGTAACAGATTTATTTCACTTCTACTTTCCTTTTTATATATGCACAAAAGTGACATGGGGGGAAACTGTCTAAATAGATCTAAAAGAGCTCTTTTAATAAGGATAGAACTAAAATTACTAAGTGAGGGGCCGGCCCGGTGGCTTAGCGGTTAAGTGCACGCGCTCCGCTGCCGGCGGCCCGGGTTCGGATCCCGGCCGTGCACCGACGCACCGCTTCTCTGGCCATGCTGAGGCCGTGTCCCACATACAGCAACTAGAAGGATGTGCAGCTATGACATACAACTATCCGCTGGGGCTTTGGGGGAAAAAATAAATAAATAAAATCTTTAAAAAAAATAAAAATAAAAAAATAAAAAATAATAAAAAAAATAAAATTACTAAGTGATAAGAAAGCTATGTCTCGGAGCTGAATTGGCAATGTTTTCTTTTTTGTTGGGACGTAAAAAATGGTGCATCGTACAATCAGTGGGTTAGATCTGATGAAGTATAAAAATACAACTGAATTAATCTGACAGAGTAATGTTATGCAAAACAGTTATCACGGTGCATGGTAATAAGGCATACCGCCTAAGCTATTCATGGAAATGACCTATAAAGCTACGTTTACAGTCAAACCAAGCTTGTTTTGCTTTTTCCTACTTGGTTCACTCGTCAATATCAAGGATTTATTTCAGGGTGCCTGCCCCACCCACAGCTTCTAAGGTGACAAGGCCAGCCCACTGGGCCTGGAACAGCCCGTGCTCTAGAAGGCAGCCAGTGAGTGGGATTTCTGGGCCTGGCCCATCTGCTGCCAATGGAGGGTCTCAGGATCTTGGTGGCCAAGTCTGCCATGAGAGGAGGAGGGTGACAGGCAGAGGAGCCAAGGGAGGAGACCATGTGTCTCTGAGGTGATCAGTGGCAGCCTTGGCAACCAGAACGTCCCTGGTTCCATTCCCGGGAGGCCTGACTGAGCTTTCAGCAAGAGATCTGTGGTTTTCCAACAAAATCCTTCCTTTGTATGTGAACGAGCTGAACAGCATGTGCTCCTTGCAATGAAAACAGTCTAACTACGATGCTCAATATCTATGATGATATCTGGATGATATCAATATCATCCAGGCGGACAACTGACACCTGTACCACACAGGGGACAGTGCTGAGCACTCAGAGGACACCAGTGACGGGGCCGACAGGGCCCCGCTGTCAGATGACAGAGCCAACTCTAGGGGACAGAGTCGGACAAACAATAAAGAAGCAGATACACGTCAGGCCTTGTGCATGAGACAAAGAAACAGAAGGGAGATGTACCAGAGAACGGGAACGTGAGGTGAAGGAGCGACCGCTCCCAGGCGCCGAAGTGGGCACCGGCGAGGGTGAGGGCACAACGAACTCGCCATTCACAAAAGCAAATTAATTTAACTTGAAACAGTTAAAAAAGAGAGCAGAATCAGATACAACGTAGCAAAATAGTACACGCGTCTATAGTTAGGTTATAATCTTAACCAGTTTTTCCTTATAAAACCGCTGGTCTAAGAGGAGATGACAGAAATTAAGAGTAACTGTTTGGAAGCTTTTACGGCAATTCAACATTTCTGGTGACATCCAAGCACATAATCATTTTTCTGGTAATTAATTTTTATTGTATTTTACAAAAGTTCTGGTCCACAACAGATTAGGGGGAAAAATTGGTCTCTACTACAGATAGTTTTAGAAACACTGGTCCAAACACCAATCAAAAGACGTCTCTCCTCTGCTTTAAAAGCCACTGCTGGCTTCCCCCTGAACTTAGAATAACCCGTTCTTACCCTGGCCCTCCCAGCCCCGCTGGCCCTGCCCACCTCATTGCCTACAACTCTCCTCTGTGCACTCCAGCCACACTGGCCTCTTACCTCATGGTGGCCTCAAGGCCTTTGCACTAGCTGTCCCTCTGTCTGGAATACTGTCCCCAGCACTCTCTAACACAGTGGACTGTTTCAGTCACTCATAACATTTACCCCTGTCTGGAACTCTTGATCATTTCTTTACTTGTTTTTACTCTCTCTCTCTCTCCTCTTCAGAGTGTGAGCTCCGCATGGGTGGGAACTCTGTCATGTCCCACTGTGTCCCCACCTCAGAAACAGCCCATGGCATGTAACAGGAAGTGAGACAGCTTCTCCTGCACTGTCTAACTCCACCACTCTTCCAGGTAAGCCTCTACTTTCCTAGCCCAGTCTTCTCTGCCTCATCTGACACTTACTGGACAAAGAGAAAATCATTTTCTCTAATGATTTCACGTTTATATAGTTTATCTCTACAATAGACTATATACTCTTTGAATATCAAAAAATGCATTTTCTATGCTGCTTCTCTACCTTCACTAGACTTTGCACACTGCTGTCCATATAAGTAGACAACTCAATAAATCTTGTGTGATCATTCTCTCATTTCATTCTTATTTCTTAGTATTTAATAGTGCTACTTAATATTGTAATAATCCAAGAGAGTAGTAATTTAAGTCAAATGACTTGTTATTCTAGTAGCAAAAGCTTTAGCGATTGATTCAGTTTTCAGTAAGTCAATATCATCATCAACAAGAGCAATAATTAGTAAGTGCCTATTCATTTGAGGCACCAAGCTAGGGCCAGGAACAGAGATCCAGGGAAGCAACAGAGTGTAATGGCTAACCAGGGTTTCAGAGTCAGACTTGACTGTAAGTTCTGGCTCTGCTATTTATTAATAACTTTGAGTTACTACTTAATCCTTAAAGTCTTAATTTCCTCATTGGTAAAATGGAGATGATGATAACAGGGCCAACCACATAGTGCTGTCTAGAGGCAGTATGTGTGGTGGTTAAGAACACACACTCTGGAACCAGGCTGTCTAAACTCAAACCCCAGTTCTACCACTAACTAGGTACATAACCTTGGAAAAGTTATTTATCTGTGCCTTGATTTCTTCATCTTTAAAATGGGGATGATAACAATATCTACCCGCTAGAGCTGTTGTGAGGGTAAAAAGAGTTAATTCTTATAAAGTGTTAAGAACAGTGCCTGGCATGTGATTAGCACTCATGAACTGCTAGCTATTATCATTATCACTGTATTTCATCAATTCTAAGGCAGACCTCCCCACACACACACATATTTTAACAACTCTGATATCAGGATGCATATTCCAATATTTAGTATCTTACAATCACTGTCAGCCATTTTCCCCATGTTTTAACATCTCTGAAACTAGATGCCCCTTACCATGGATAGCATCTTAAATTCAGGGCACTGAGCACAGCCCCTGGCCTATGGAAGACACTCAATATTTAGGTAATGAATGTCCATTGATCTATAATATAACAGTCTGTTTTCTACAATCTCTCTCTGTAGACAGATACTTAAAGAAACGGATTCAACTTCTCCAATAATACAATTCCCCTACTACTGGAAATTATAAAGATATTTATTTCTAAACAAAGCTTTCTCAAATGTCTAAGCACATAGGAACTTGCCAAAAATTATCCCCTCCTCTTGAGTTTTAAAATATCACAAGAAACAATCAGAATTCTAATATAAGACATATATCTTACACCAAGAGAATTGTTAGTAAATAAAGGAAGTAATTACATAGGTTCATTATAAAGTAAAATGTTGGCTTACTGATAAAAAGATTATTGTAAATGAACTAATCAAGTTTAGTGGTTGATTCTCTTGGTTGTATTTGATACCCTAACCTGATACTGTTAAATATATATACACAGGGAGGATCAAAGCGAAGAATCTACGTCAGACAGTATTTGAAAATGTAATCATAAAGAAACACCTCATTTATCTAGGCTGATGTTTAGTAAGTGAAATTTCCAGATAAACAAGGTTTACTCATGGAACACAAAACTCTTCTCTATTGTAATAATTTTAAACAGGAATCTTAAAAACATTTATTCACTTTCCTACCTTTCCTATCAGTGTTTACTGAAGTGGTATGGTTATGACAATCCATCATGTGGTTGTGCTTTCTCTAAACTACCTTGGGGAATCTGGAGGCTTGTGGCTATCTGCCTAGACTGCTCTCATTTGGCTTTTTATTGTTCTCATGTCTATGTTTTACATTTTCAGTCTCCTCCATTAAGAGATTGTCACCTATCACTTTCTCTTACTGCTGGTGTGCCAGGTTCTAGAAGCTTCTTCTAACTGCTCTATTTTGAATAGGTTTTAGACCAAGAAACCAAATAACTAAGTTTGTTAGAATTGTACTTAAAACAAGATTAAACAGATACCTGAGTGAGGGGTTTACTCATGAATAAATACACAAGGTTTGTAACTTATAAGAAATGCTATATATCCCCAGATATAAAGCAATCTCCTATTTTCCCAAAAAGATCCAAAAGTTTCACATCAACTTTTATGGATGTAGAAAAATGCGTCTACTTGTTCTATTTATTTTATCAGTAATTTACTAAAATATACATATTTTAAACCACATATAAAATATATTAATTTGATATAATGCTTTTTTCTACTCTCCCACTTCATAAAAACAATTTTCTTTGAACTCTTCACATGCATCTTCAATATCAGTGTCTCCTTCATTGCAAGAATAGCTTCTTGATCTAACAGTTTTCCATAGCACATCATCTTCAGTTTGGCCTAAACTGTTTGAGATAATACAGCAGTTTTTAAATCATCTATAATGCTGAAACTAAAATTCTATTCCAAGCCATACATAGTCACTCACATGACATTAAGGAGACATTTTTTTTTTTCATTTGTCCAATAGGCATAATGAGATCTGTAAAATTAGCACTTCTTGAGCTGCTTTCTCAGTGATATTTACAAGGCTCATTTGTCCTGACATCTAACACAACAGTGAGGTCAGATCCCCAGGGATATTTGCTAAATGTGGGCCAACCATCCGCCTCCTTTTCTCTATTTCCCTCAGGTGACCTCTGTAAGCCTCCAAAACCAGCCCTGAATGAGGTTGGCCCAGATGAATGTGCTTTCCTCAACAGTGCTTTGTTGTTCAAAAGAGAGGAACTGGGCCGGCTCTGTGGCTTGGCGGTTAAGTGCGCGCGCTCTGATGCTGGCGACCCGGGTTCGGATCCCGGGAGCGCCCCGAGGCACCACTTCTCCCTCCAACACGAGGCCGGGTCCCACGTACAGCAACTAGAAGGATGTGAACCTATGACATGCAGCTGTCTGCTGGGGCTTTGGGGGGAAAAAACTGAATAAATAAAATCTTTAAAAAAAAAAAAAAAAAAAAAAAAGAGAGGAACTGAATGAGCACCCTGTAACACAGGAGACTTTGTAAGGATCCAAATATAAGGAGGTTCCCTCTCATCTGAGGAATTATTTGGGGGGAAAGCCCTGCCTTATTTTGAGGCATAGAATAGAATGTCAAGCAACACCAGATCCCGGGAGAAGAGTGACCTTCAGAGGGGAACAGGCCTGGGTGCACAGCTCTCCTACAGGGACCCACAGTGAGGGAGGACTGAGTGGCCCCGCTGTCCTCTGTACCATCCTCTGTGCCATCCTCACCCACATGACCCAGCCAGCCTGAAGGCCTTGTGGCTTTACTTCTCATGTGCAGCTGTGTTCTGAGTAGATGAGATTGCCAGAAAAACAGCTCCCAAGAGAGAACTAGCTCAGTACTGTATATTTATATATTAAAACTATGGTGACTAATTTATATATGCACTCTGGTAACTAATGATTTTGAGAACTAAGACAAAGTATATGTAAGATACAAGCTTTAAAAGAAGATCTTAGATTAGTTTTCAAATTATTCTACATACCTCGGATTAGCTCATAAATATTCATATCCATAAGTTCACATATTAGTGCAAGAGAACCAGATTTTCTGTCACTGAAGAAGAAAGCAAGTTTTTAAAATGTTTTTTTCTTGTCTTAATCAGAAAATATAATCAAACATTTAATTCATTTGTAAACATTTCTGGTAAACATAAAGCACTCCCACATCAGACAAAGACCAAAGTATAACACTTAAAACAGTACAAGTTTTGATTTTAAATCAATATTTCAGGTAAAATTTAATTTAAAATAATAGTAAAACCCTACTTTAAGAAAAAATTCTAAAAGCCCCCATTTTTTAAAGACATGTCTTGAAAATATAAAATTAACTATCAGCAAAAAGAAGAAATAAAGTTGGGAGTTGGCTAAGCAAAATAATCAAAGAAAGAAGAATTTAATTGATGCTCTGTGACTGCAAATTTAGTTTTAATTTACCTATATTACTTCCATGTAATTGAGATACAATATAACGGGGGAGCAAAATTCAAAAACCAGCCTGGGGACAAAGGGAGAAAGACGAGTCAGGTCAGGCCTGTGCCATGTCTAGGCCTTGTACAGAGAGGGAACAGAGGCCTCTGGCCAAGCCATCAGCTTCTCCTGAGCTCAAACAGCCCTTAAAGGGATCCCTGAGCCCCAGGCAGGGGAGCCCATGTCATCCCCAGATCCTGCTTGGGGTGCCTCTGGTGGGGCTGGAAGGGGTCCTCTCTGTCTCTCAGGGCTGTGAGGAGGCCCATTTGCAATCCTGGAGAGAAGTGCTCTGTAAAGTGCACACCAAGCCCACTGCACTCAGGCAGTGTTGTGACTATACCACGCAGACTGCAGTCTCTAGCCCCAGCCCAAAATGATGGCTCAGAACACTGCAGGCCGGGAGGCCACACAGCTACAACAAGACATTTCATTTTGAGTTTAAAGCTGTTCAATCCTCTAATGAAAGTCTACCGCACTTTGTCAGACTGTTGTTTCTTGGCTGGTTTTAAAGGCCAGGCTCCCTGGAGCACTACAGCGACGCTTCACTCCGCCATGCACCTTCTCAGAGCTCAGTGCCACTCTAGCCCACAGAAAGGCAGTTCCCAGAATCCCGTGGCTCAAGTCCCTGGCTCAGGGTCCAGAAGTGTAGTGCAGAGCTGCCAGCACCTGGGGACAAGGTGTGCTCTGCCTTCTTGATCAGTAGGTAAACGTTAAGGAAACTATTCTATAATTAGAAGAGAAATAAAAAATCCCCTGAAATTACATCAATTACAGTAAGAAAGGCTATATGAGACTGTGCAGAGATGGCAACTGGCAGGGATAAAGTAAATACAATCCCTGAAATATGAGAGCAGTACGTTGCCAGGAGATCATAATTCACACTCAAAGCCTCCAATGCCCAGAGCCACCATCGTCTACACAGAAGCCTAACTGAGCTAAAGGAGAGGAGCCATTTGAATTACGTATGCTTTTATGATATGGATACACTTAAATGAAGACATTTCCACATCAGGAATCAGATACACATCTGTCCAAATAAATATGTGACTTAAGATAAAATAAAAATTATTATTCTCTGAGCCACAAAGCAAATATTTAAAATGTCTACTATGATCTTCTTTCTTAAAAAGAGATTTAATCATTATCATCAATTTAGATAATTTTTAAAGCCCCAAATATACTTACAAAACCACTTCATGTAACGTAAGAATGTTTGGGTGTGGATTCAGGCGCCTCAGTGCTTGTATCTCTCGTAGATTGTTCACTTGCTCAATACTATTGTGTAGGTAAAAATAAATAACTAATTTGTAATTTAGGTCAACTTTAAAATTAGGGTTATTAAACCATTATTTATTATCCATGATCACAACTGAAAAACTCACAAATATGTCAAGCAAGTTAATCAGGTTTTATTTCTTCCATTAGCAGTTGAAGTTAAGCATACCTTGTTTCTGCATTATCTTATAAAAATCAAGGTTTTATAGCTTTGGACATATATTCAAAATTTTCCCATCTAACCTCCCGAAAGAATAATTTGGTAGTTTCTTTTACAATTAATAAACATAGAAACAGATATCAAAATTTCCTATCAATCAGTTTATGGGAACTAACCAACTGAGCAATGTAAATACCATCTGAAAATAAGCATTTTTTGTTTTGTTTTGCAGAGAAATATTTGCCCTGAACTAACATCTGTTGCCAATCTTCCTCTTTTTTTTTCTGTTATGTGAGCCACTGCCACAGCATGGCCACTGACGGACGAGTGGTGTAGGTCTGCGCCCAGGAACTGAACCCAGGACGCCAAAGCAGAGCATGCCAAACGTAACCACTAGGCCACTAGGGCTGGCCCCAAAATAGGCATTTTATTTATTATTATTTTTTTTGTGTGTGAGGAAGATCGGCCCTGAGCTAACATCTGCCAATCCTCCTCTTTTTGCTGAGGAAGACTGGCCCTGGGCTAACATCTGTGCCCATCTTCCTCTGCTTTATATGGGATGCCACCACAGCATGGCTTGACAAGCGGTGTGTCGGTGCACGCCCAGGATCCGAACCGGTGAACCCTGGGCCGCCGCAGCAGAGCGCGTGCACTTAACTGCCTGCACCACCGGGCTGGCCCCAAAAATAGGCATTTTAAATTTCCATGAACAGACCCATCCTTCCTTCTTATCTTTAATGCAGGTTGTACATTTTTTCAATTTCATGCACCTAGTGAAGGTGTTCTCTCAGCAGGTGTGTCTTACTGCAGGCTTTTCTTTACAAAGACTGCTCTGCCTGACACCATGCTCACATCCAAAATCACACCAGTACAAGTTTCACAGGGGCCGATGGCCTGAGACTGTCACCGCCCTCCAGACAGAGTCATACAAGAGACACAGCTCCCCAAGGATGGGCCTGTGGAGTCATACCCAATCAAACGACCCGATTCACCAGACACTTCCATCTTAGAGGTTCTGAAAGGAACTAACTGTGGGAATATTCTTCTTTCTTTGAATTGGCAAAACTCTGTTCCACCAACTTTTAACATATGGTGTAAAGCTCAGCATTTTGTTTGGTCATTCAAAGAGTAGTGATAGCCAATAATACATTATTATTGTTTTAAATCAATGTGGCCGAATATTTTAAGCCTCTCTCATGCAAGCCAACAAACAGGAGCCTGATATATAAGAGCCTGAATAGTCTGAGTGTGAGGATATTTCTGACTAAAAGTTTTAGATCCCTTTTTCATTACTATCCCCTATTTCCTCCCTCACACCCAGGATGATATTCAAACTGTTAGAAACTTGTGTGCTATAGTCAACAATCAACTAGAAAAGACACAGCCTACAATGCTGGAGCAGGGTCGTAAAGGGGGCCTGTGTTGAACCAGGCACTAATGCTTTAGTTGCTGGGAAGAGGAGAGGTCTGGCGAGTGCTGGAAAAGGGGCCAGGTGCAGGGTGGCAGGTTGAGGGCAGCACTCAAGAGGCTCAGGATAGCAGCTATTTACCACCCAGAATATGAGTCTTTCACTATTCTTTTTTTAAATTATTTATTTATTTATTTATTCCCCCCCCCCCAAAGCCCCAGTAGATAGTTGTATGTCATAGATGCACATCCTTCTAGTTGCTGTACGTGGGACTCGGCCACAGCATGGCCGGAGAAGCGGTGTGTTAGTGCACGCCTAGGATCCGAGCCCGGGCCACCAGCATCAGAGTGCGCGCACTTAACCGCTAAGCCACGGGGCTGGCCCTCACTATTCTTATAACCATCACGGATGGCCATGCTGGTGCGTACAAGGACCAGATCACAACACTGTCTATTCATTACGTTGGCTTAGTACCCACCCCACCACCTGCTCCTTATCAGCACCCTAGACCGCAGCATCAGGGCTTCCCCTACATGCCTCTAGAACAGTGCTTCCCAAAATATGTGCCACAGAACATCAGTTCTCTGGAAAATGCTTTATGGGGAATTTCATGTTCAAAAAGCTTGAGATAGGCCCACTCTATTTCCTTTTGGAGAGCCACAATTTACAGGTGATATTAAAAGATTTCAAAATCCCTACAAAATAAAGAGAACAGTTTACCTTTATTTAAACCAAAATTTCCCAAACTTTTTGGCCCCAGGATCCTTTCTTACATACTACTGAATCACCATCACTTAGTACTAGGGCTCCAGAGAATACACCACTCCAGACCACCCTTTGAGTGACATAATAGAAATAGTTTTTTTACTTAGGAGAGGGGAGATGAATAAAGACACTGATAAGACAAAAAGAAGAAAAAAAGAGCAAGTAAAACATTCTTTTGGGGGCACTTATGTAACGGATTATAGAGCATCTTTCAACTCTCTTCCCTGGGATCTGCATTGGAAGAGGCCAACAAGATTCTTCTTCATGGTCCCACACCATGAGAGGTCCCTAACTCAGCATCAGGCTGCTGAAGAACCCTCACCTCCACCTGGTGCCTGTCATGCCTTTCCCCGTGGCATGCCATAGGTCAGTGGTTCTCAACCAGGGGACTTTGCTCCCCAGGGGACATTTCACAATGCCTGGAGACATTTTTAGTTGTCACAAGTTGAGGAGGGGGTGATGCTGGCTTCCAGTGGTAGCAGCCAGGGATGATGTTTTAAATACCCTATAATGCACAGGACAGGCCCTACAACAAAGAATAATCTGGGCCCACATGTCAATAGAGCCAAGGTTGAGAAACGCTGCTTTAGGTGCAAAGAGCAAGAAACCAATTGGAGCTAGCAATTCTAATTTTTGAACACCCTATCTGAAAAAACTTAGTTTTTAGAACTGGATAGTCAAACAGCCACATCATTTAGACAAACAAATATTCACTTGTCTCATCTTCAATATGAAAACTAGTTATCATACTCTGAAACATATTTTGATTATTGCAGATAGAATTATTTTACGTCTCCACGGGCATTCACTCAGAAATAATGAACTAATGCAAACACTAGAAAGGCGCATTTCTCTGGGTATGGCTAGCCATTGTTCAAATAACAGTGCTTACAAAAATTCAAATCAACTCTGTTCCTTCTTTTAAAATTCATGAAAAAAAAAATCTAAAAATCTGGAAGTAACCACTTTTCTTTGCCTTGGAGTTGCTTTAATTTTGTGGTTAGGTGACATTCAATTTATTTTTTTACTGTTCTGCTAGAAACAGAAAATATGGAACTGAACATAGAGGAATGTAGGCAGCCTCTGCTTCAAAAAGAACCAGACGCTATCTACCATAAATGGATTTTTACCTACAATTGGAAAAAATTATAATTACCAGGACTAAGTCTTTAAAAAATAAAAAAAAAAGATTAATTATGAAATTTCAGCATTTCATTTTATTGGAAGGATTTTATGGAAAATAAGTTTATCTAACCAATCCAATCTATAGGAAGAAAGTCCTTAAGGTGAAGGGGAAAAAGAAGTGGTTATATTAATATTAGACAAAACAGATTTCAAAATAAGGATTTTCACTCAGATGAACAACGTGCTGGACCCAAAGATAAGTCTCAATAAATTTCAAAATACTGAAGACTTACAGAACATGTTCTATGACCACAATGGACTTAAATTAGAAATCACTAATAGTAAGCTATCTAGAAAAGCCCCAAATATTTGCAAATTAAACAACACATCTGAATATAACCCAGGCGTAAAGAAAAAATCACAAAGGAAATTAGAAAACATTTCAAACCAAGTAATAAAGCAAGCACAATATTTCAAAATTTACAGGATGCAGGTAAAATAGTGCTTAAAAGGATATTTAACCCTCTAACCAAAGAAATGGTTAAAATCAGGGGCCAGCCCTGTGGCGCAAGCGGTTAAGTGCACGCGCTCTGCTGCAGCAGCCCGGGGGTCCCAGGTTCAGATTCCGGGCACACACCAACGCACCACTTGGCAATCCATGCTGTGATGGCACCCCATATAAAGTGGAGGAAGATGGGCATGCATGTTAGCCCAGGGCCAGTCTTCCTCAGCAAAAAAAAACGGAGGATTGGCAGATGTTAGCACAGGGCTGATCTTCCTCACAAAAAAAAAAAGAAAGAAAGAAAGAAATGGTTAAAATCAATTGTCTAAGTTTTTACCTTAAGAAGGCAGAATAAGAAGAGTAAATTAAATCCAAAGCAAGTAGAAGAAAAGCAATAATAAAGAGCAGAAATCAATGAAATAGAAAACAGACAAAGAATAGAGAAAATTAACAAAGCCCAAAGTTCGTTCTTTGAAAAGATTAATAAAACAAATAAACCCCTAGTAAGACCAATGGAAAACAAAAGAGACAGAAAACACTAATATCCCCAACCAATATCAGGAATGAAAGAGGGGATATCACTATAGGTACATACTAAAAAGACAATAAGGGAATTTTATGAACAATTGCATGCCAATAAATATGACAATTTAGATTAAACAAATTCCTTGAAAAACATAATTATCAAATCTGACAAAAAATAAAACTGAAAATCAAAACAGCCCTATGTTTATCAAAGAAACTGAATTTGTGATCAAAAGCCTCCTCGCAGGTCATGGAAGTGTTCTAAAATGGGGTTATGGTGATGGCTGCACAACTGTATAAATCTAAAACTCACTTACAATGGGTAGATTTTATGATATGTAAATTATATCTCAATAAAGCTTTAAAAAATCACAGAAAAATCCAAATTATTTGGCATAGTTCTAAGGGATTGTTTAATATTCCATGACACGGATTTACCATGATGTTATCACCCATTCCACCCCTTTGTTTTTTTTCCAGCTTTTTACCACTATGAATGATATCTGAAATAAACC